GCATGTGCCATCGTGCCCGTGGCCACGAGCGGAGACAGGAGGGAGCTAGGTGAGACAGGAGGGAAGCTGGGCCTGTCGGCGTGGGGAGGACGTATGGGGCCAGTCTGGGCTCATCCAATCTGCTCTTCGCAGGGTGACCTGGGTTTACGTGCATCTAAGCAACAATAATTGTGCTTGAAGATAGACCTGTCCTTTCCCCCTCAAGAAATTAAATAACCCTGAAATATTAAGGTGCCTTTTCATGAAGAAATGATTTAATCTTGTGCTTCCTACCCCATTAAGTGAACTGCTGAGGTTGAACAGTTATACTCTACTCCCACCTCTCACTGTGACTTGTGATTGAGTCACTTAACTTCAGCGTACCCAGTTACTTGTCTGTCACCAGCTCTAACAACTGCCTTGCAGCGAGACCAGAGAGCTTAGCCCTGCCGACACACAAGAAGCCCTCTGGATATTACACATACAGAACAAACCGCTTGAGAGCATTTAATTTGCAGAAATTATCAGTAAATAATTTCAAATGGCAAATGAAAATTACCTCATTTGTTAAAACTTCTGAGTAGAAAAAGGCAGCATGTGAGCACATTATTCATTACAAATTATCCACTTACATCTTCTCGGAGTGTAACTGTAGTGAGAAATGTGCTACAGTGAGAGGTCTGGAAATTGAACTGAGACCCTTAAGAGCCATTTCACACAAGCCATTGAACAGCCACCAGGTGGTGACACCTTTGCGCCTCTACCAAGCTGAAAACCACTTCAACAGGCTTAAGGCAAAAGACTTTTTATGTCATTGCTCCCTCCAGGAGACATGAGGCGTGCTGTAACTTCCCTAGGCCAGTTCAGCCAGGAGATGTCGCACCACTAAATTACTGATCTGAAAAACGCGAGCACTGGTGTAAAACTCTAGGAGTACGGTTGTTTAACATTCCTCACGAATATTTTTTCTTCCCTTGGCAGACAGATGCATAATAGCAAGACCCTTACAAGAAAAGATCCAAAATCATTGTCACCCACGAAACCGACCCATGAAAAGCTGCAGGCCTCAGAGGAACACCCTTTTTACCTGCGAAGATGCACCACCTTTCCCTCACCACTTACTGGAAACAGCAGAAAACAGCCGCTGAGAAGACACCCATATGCTGATTCCTTCCATTAACTACCCAGATTCTTATTCTAATTCCCAGATACAGGAAAAACCCGTTGGCATAAGCAATAAATATTTCATTGACATTCCAAACTCTGCCTCTCCCAAATTCTTAATTTTTTTCCCATAATTTTTCACATGCATTTGGGGCCTGGGCAAGAGGAAAAGGAAATAATTTTCAGTATTTTTAGTCTTGCAGTTAAATAGTTCAGACAAGAAGCATCCACGTAGCAAACTCATCCTAGGATACCAGACCTTCTCCTCCAGCCTCCACAGGAATAACGCAGATATTAATTATTGAGCTTTAGCCTTTGCCTAGGTCTGAGTAGGTGCACATTTTCATGTGCTGATAGAAAATGAATCTCTGATCTATTTGCAATGTTCTTACATCTAATGCAATCTTCAGCTCTCAGACATCAACTGCCGAGGGCTACATCTGTCTGCTACAGAGAACAGCTCTCAAGTTCTCATGCAAAGGATTAAATGCTTCAGAATCTGCATAAATGAATAGAACCAGCCTTCGAGCCTCGCAGTGAACAACATACCACTTCCCCCCAGCGATGCAGATCTTGTTAATCTAAATCAACATCATGCATGCTCTGAGGAGCACCAGAAGAATTTCACACAAAATTAGTATCTTACAACTGCATAAAAAATGTTGCACAGAAACAGTAACGACAGGAGTGTTTTGTGGGAGAGGTATGGGGTCACTGAGCTATGTGGGGTAGACACAGCCCTGGCCGTGGCAGGTGTTCCAGGCAGGTCGCGTTTACTGCAAGAACAGCACCCAAGTATAAATATTTGAAATCCATTAAATACCAGTTACATTTGCCAGCACCAGGGCACCATAAACATACAGAGAATCTCCTTAATATCCACGTTAAACCACGTTTTAATTGTCAGCACTGCTGCTACAGTTGCACCAGGCTCTGAATGAGTACCGTGTCCCCACAGGAACACAATACAGCATACGAGGTGACGAGAGATACCGCAAGGTGTGTATTGCCACCGTGCCAGGCTGGCTGTGCAGACCGTCTAATATGAAAACAAACGACCGTTTTACAGCAACTAGCTAAATCATTCCTGAGCTTTAGGGTTTTATGCAATGCAAGACTCATTAAGCCCCTTTCAGATCCCTCTGACTGGGTGTTCTCGACAAGCCCAAGCCCACATGTGCGCCCAGTTCACACGGACAGAGCAGCGTGCATGGGAGGCAGCCACGAGATGGTGTAGGCAGGGTAGCGCCTGCGGGCAGACAGGGCAGGGACCGGAGAGCCCTTTCTCATGTCAAAGTCAGCCAAGATTCGCCTTTGCTACCTCAGAAACTTAAAGGATGAACCCGAGAAGATGATTTCATTGGCAGGAACGATCCGAAAGCTGATTTACTGACGGCTAAAAGAAGGAGATTCAGTTCTTCCCCGGTGCAGCACAGCGCTGCATCCGAGGGAGAGCTGAGGCCGCCAAGGCCCCTTCGTTACGCACCGCACCGCACCGCACCGCACCGCACCACGCGCGGTGGACAACGGTGGACAA